AGTGGGGAGACTACTTCATTTTGGGAAATAGAGTACCTGGAGTCTCCATGACCCTTAAACAATGCGGTCATTACCCAAAGGAATGGGGTCATGCACGCATTTCTAAATGGTCATGGAGACTCCAGGTAAGCTGATTCTGGAGAGGCGAAACACACCAACACCGTAGTTCATCGGTTGGCGTCAGTTTATCCTTCCCTTTCACAGCCCATTTTTGGGGGCCTACAAAAGATTACTGGCCATGGGTCCAACTACGTTGAAAGGGAAACCCAAAGGATTTACGAGGAGTTTCGCGGTATGTGAAAACAGGCGGTTTCACCATCCTGCTCCTTTTCGGGGTCTCACCAAATCGGAGTTCTTCCCCGGGGCTTCGGGGTATAGCGGCGCAGAAAGTGCAGGCCTTAAGAAATGGCCCGTAGCCAGCACCCGTAGTCAACCCGCATTTCACAGCCTGCAAATTCTTCGACCTGGGGGGTTACCCCGTACAGATACGAGTTCTTTCAAGACATGCATCATAGAGATTCTGGGTTGTGGGATTGGATATTCAACTGCTCGATTGAAGGGGATCGAATCATTTCTCAGGCGGAAGGGAGCCCGGAGGGCTCAAGCTGTTGACCTGCAGGCTTAGTTTGGGGGTTTCTCTTCAACCTGCCGGTTCCGTGCGCACATCTCTTTCAATCGAGCCGGAAAGAATTAGGCCCAGACTGGCGGAGAACTTGCCGGGTCTGGAGCCGTCACCTCGGCTGCTCCAAATTTGTGGCTTGGAGTGGTTGGGGCTTTGAAGTTCTGGTTCGTGTAGGGTACCCTCCCGCCAATTAACATCAAGGTCCCCCAGCTAGGTGCCCCTTGATCATTTTTTTTGGAGGAGGGCTTCCCTACCAAAAACAGACTACAGAAAAAGGGTACCATTAGTTACTCTAACCTCTCTACTGGAGGACCTACACATGGAACCTGACAGAGCCTGGTCCCATTCAAAGGAATATTGTCTTCCAGGAGCCCAATTGGTGGGAGGATACATCTGGGGTTTCCGCCCAACCAGCAAATCACCGGGCTCCAAATCGCCAAACAGCGCGGGAAGCTAAGGAATTGCGTTTCTTTCGGGGAGAGCGATCCTGTGTTTCAACGGGATTTGTTGAGAGCCTCCAATTAACTCAACCCTCTGCTGGTACATGCCTCAAGTGGGGCTCATTAAGTGAGGGTGTGCAACCTCACCTTCATGAAGTTGAAGGTGCCTTAGAGCTTGCGAGCCATTTGGAGCGTCAGTCAAAATGTACCTTCTTTCCGAATTTCTTAGGGTATGTTTGGCAGCATTGGTGGACGCCCCAGAAAGGAAATGATCTCATCCCTGTCCGGCCGATGAGTTCCGCGCATGGTTGTACCCTTGGGGCAAAGTCCTCGGGTGGAGTTGTTGGTTCTCTTGAGCTTGGGGTTTGCAAAAAGACCTTTCGTCACTTTGGTCTGCCAAAGTTTCGTGTTCTTCAGTGACCTTCAGCCTTTCGATCGTTTAGATTTTGATGAACTTGAAGCTTGTTGCTGGTCGATGTCTTCGTCATTCTTGTTAAGCACCCGAGGTCAAGCTTTTCGGAGCAGTCTATCAACAGACTCGCATGCTGCGAGCAACAAGACTCAGATTTTACGCGACCTTCTTCGCGCAAGCTTCTCCCCTCAACCTGCTTCGCGCAGCTGGTTCTGTACCTGCCAAGTTGATATGGCAGCTTTGCAAAGCCCATGTGGCGGGATGGCAAGACAAGATCCCCGGATGGCGCTTTACTGGCGCCGCTTTACTGGGACCGGCACCCGTCGCTCCGAAATGGCAAGCCCGAAGCAAGTACGCCACGATCCCATCAGCTGAATGCGCCGAGAATCCTTGAGACATCAGCCCGCTTGTTGATCCTGCAGGCCTTCTTCCTGGCAGGAGGTTCCCAAGATTCGCTTCGGACGTTGATGTCATTTGTTCGCCACCCTTTTCAGGGGTGTCCACAGAATGGGATCCCAACAAATCGAGATCGCTTGTGTCGCATCACAATCCAGCATGCTAGCCCTGTTGTCAGGCCCCAATCCACGAGTCACCCCCTTTGACGATCACCCAGTTGTGAACCCCTTGTTCCCTTTTGTGTTTGATGGGTCCCCCACTACAGGTAGTCAGTCCCCTTTTCGTACCAGGGTCTTTGGGGGTCTTGGGGGGTGTCACTTTCAAACGCGAGGTTGGGCCAAGCCTTACACCCTGCAGGGTGACATGTAACCATTGGTTTAGTTGGGGGGGGTGTCTATAGGAAGGGGCCCTTTTTGGATGGTTTTTACACGACAAGCAAAAGGAAACCAACGACCCGGAGGGAAACACGAATCCAATTTATAGAACTTCGCGATCGTCAGGTCACGACTTCAACCCCTTCCATGGCTTGGCCCATGATCCCGATCGTGATGCCGGCGTTACTTGGAGCTCGAAAAGCCGCACCCGGGTTTAGTTTCCCGTGAAGTTAGTGCAGATAACCAAGGACTTTGTCTAGGTTTGACACGACGTCCCTTGCTATATTTAAAGAAAACATGGAACTGGGCCAAACACGATTTTATACAGAGGGGCTTGAATATCTGGGAACACGTCGGCGCCGCGCTCGGTAGTTGTGGACCAAATCGTGCGTTCTCATCACCCATTTTAACAAATGGGATGTGGCCGGGACCCGTAGCTCGATCTGTGCTTCTTTGTTCGGAGTGAAAAGAAGTGAGCCATGCCACCTTTGCAATGTAAGCAACATCCCGAGCCTAAGCCCTCGAACATCGCGTCGCCTCCTGATATATGGCTGTGGTTGTCAAAACGGTTTGGGATCCCAGTTTGGGCTAGGTGCACCACCCATTGTAGAACCTATTTTAGTGGTTGGATTGGGATGTTCACTGGGGTACGGGATTTTGAGCCATGGCCATATTGTGTCCCTTCTACCAACCAGCGGAAGCGGACACCGCATGTTTCTATCCTTCCAGCTGTCGGAGCTTGACGTGTCTCCCACATAACTGCCTGGAGTCTCCATGACCCTTTGAAAATCGTTGGTCATTACCTAAAGTCATGGGGTCGTGGACCTATTTTTAAAGGGTCAGAAGGAGACTCCAAGTACTGGCAACACGTTAGCTAAATAGCCAAACCTTTGACCAACGTAGATTTGCCAGGTGTGACCATCTCCCTGGAAGCCTACCTGCAGCAGGCCATTTGCCGGGAAGTAGTCGGTCTGTTCCGGCGAGTGTCTTTAATTGAGGCTGTCCATGTTTGGTGGTTTTAAAGGAATTGCAAATTTAAAGGAAACCCGATTTGTTGGGCCCGTAAAAAAAAGATATCCTATTTACCGATTGATTCGCTTCATTCCGTTGCTTCTTTGATTGCACGCGAATTGGTCCGGCACCCGTACCCAATGTACGTGTCCTGAAAAGGGGAAGCTGCAAGTAGGACCCACTTTTTTCATTCGCTTCAACGGACTTGGCACTTTTTGGACGAAGTCGTGACATTACCTTGTGGGAACACTTTTGTCAGATCTAATAAATTTTGTCGGTTGTGGATTTAGGTATGGAGCTATATGACTTCTGGGCTGACACAAGCCAATTGGTGGTCTAGAAGCCTCCATACCTCTAACCACCACTTGAACAATGCGTTGATGTTGTTCCCACACCCCTAGTGGATTTCTTTATTGTTCCTTCTTTTGGAGAGTTTCCCTTCAAAATCAACTGCCAACAGGAAGAGTGTTGTTTTTTTGCACTGGCCACTGGAATTCTGGGTATATAGTTGCTTTTGTTTGTTTCCGGATTCACTCACCCACAGAATACGCTGGTGACTGTGGGCGGTTCCGAGATGAATGACCAACAGAAAATACAGCTTGACCCCATTGGCAGGTTTCCCTTCCCAAAACGGCGAGCGCCAACAACATTGGCTCAGGACTTGATTTGGAATGCGAAAGCAGCTCACATGAATTTAGCAACTACTTGCGATGTTTGTTCCAGACAGGAACCAAGTTGTTGAAACTAAGAAGCCATTTTGGGTCGACCTTGACTGGAACCCAAACTGAGTGAGCAACCACTTGGGAAGGCGGGTTTAGCGATATGCTCGCATATCCATGTGTAAAATCGGGGAGTTTTTGGGCGAACGCCCTAAAACCCTGTGAATGAGTCCACCGCGAGGTGTTCGTGGAGATAATCGGCAACTTGTAGCGAACATAGTTTGCGACCTTACCCTTGGAGTTGGTTTACCCAGAACATAGGGTATGTGCTCTTTGAGAGTGCCTTTTTGGTTTTTGCTCTGAAGGGATACCAAAGGGAAACCACTGATTTTGGACTTCTTTTCGACTTGGTCCAAGCACCGTTTTGCGTGTATAAGGGGCGGTCAGGGGCCTCGCTTTGGCGGGATTCGAGGCAGCAGTGATCCATAATTCACTTCTCCAGTTCTATCTTGAGAAGATCCTGGCGGGAAACAACAAGTCACTACCGTTCATCAATCCACCGGGTTCAAAAAGACCAAGCAACCCACATTTTGGGGCGCATGGGCGCATGTCTGTGACTTCACCTAAAGTTAGCTGATTTGTTTTTTTGTTGATCAGTTTAGGGTTTAATGACCAGAATCAATGGACCATGAAAAATAAGTTAATTATAAGGTTCACTCTTCACCTCCAAATACGAAATATGGAACAAAATGCGGACCAAACAAGGTACTTACGCGTTTACTGCTCAGGATCAAACCTGGTTTTTGTGTGTCACCCTTTGGGACCCCAGAAATGGCGTTTCGGTTTCCCTTCTTGCTGGTTCGATCGCCAGGGAATGAGTTGGAATGACCCTCCCGATTTGGTTTCCTCGGGAATCCCCTCCGGTTCATGCCCAAAGCGCGGAAGGGTCATTCGCTACCGATTCAGCACCGATCGCACGCGCGCCAAAAAGGGAACATGGGAAACCCCTCCGTTTCACCACCAAACCACCGGGCTCCGGCTCCGGCTCCAAACCGCCAATTAGAAAACAAATCAACCGACTCCAGGATCCCCCAATGGCTGGCACATGGTCTGAATGACCTCCCAAAGGGGTTATTTTATTTGGGGTTATTTGCCGGGGTCCTGGCTTAAGAAGCTTCCAAACCAATTCGAGAAGACTCCGAACCACCGGGCTCCGGCACTGGCTGCAAGCCAAGTAGAAAACAGCTCAGCCAACTTTGGGCCGGAACTTCCAAAGCAATTCGAAGACTCCGAAAACCACGAGGCTGAAACCGATTCGGCATCTCCAACCAAAAGGCGAAAGCCAGAGCCGAGCGATGGGCGGGCCGCCGGAACCCGCAGGTGCAAGCTGCTGGCTACCGCGTTCCCCGCCTGCTGGCGGACGACGCGGAGGCGGCCTTGCGACGCCTCAAAGGCGCGCAGAGGGAGGAGAGGGGGGAAGGCTGGCACGTGGCTTCCATTTGCTGAAATGCTTTTTTGTTGTTGTTTTTTTCTCCCCCCCTGTTGGTTTTAAAGGGAATCTATCACTACTGGACATATATATTTTTTTTCCAGGGGTCTTAACCAAGTGGAAGTTGGGGTATTCGTTTGATTCTTTCTGGGGGTTGGCTCACTGTTGTTGGCATGCTTATTGTTTTTAGCTGTTTTTGTTTGGTTCTGTTCATTTTGAGCAGGGGGCTGCAAAAAGAAGAGTTTTGGACCACCATGCCGTTACAGTGAGAAACTGGTTGGTGGTTTCCCCTTAACCTACCACTTGGGTGATGATAGTGCTGATTTAATGGTGCGCATGATTGATGGTGCGCTGAACAAAATCTGGTTCTCAAGTCCCTAGATACTCGATTCGGGCGCATGAGCACATTGCCATCCCCTTTAAAAGGATATGAGTCAAAATTCAACTTATAAAAACTATCCGCAGGTTTTAGTCCTTACTTCTACTTACTGTGGTTCAATGTTGGGTACATAGAGTCTGCATGGCCCTTCAAAAACGGGGCCATTCCCCAAAATAATGGGGTCATGGACCCATTCTTTTAAGGGTCATGGAGACTCTAGGTATATTTTTGACCCACTTCCATATTTTGTTGGACCAAGGGCGTCCGTGTTGGCGAGTTTTGTTTTGCCGCTCAGATGACGGCATCCTGGGCGCTCTGCAAGCGTACCGGGACGCGAATTGGCTGGAGGACCTTCGTAGGCGCGGCTTTTGAGCTTGGAAGGCCTTCAGAGAACAGAGAGCAAAAAATAGAAGAAAGGTTTCGTGGATAAAATCCTGCACCAGGTGGTGAGTGGTTTATCCAAGTATAGGTTTTCATCTATCCCAATTGGCGCAGCCACGGAGATAGCTTTCATGGTGCATGGCCATGGTTTCGGGGTTCCGCCTTTCATTGATGGCTCCCAGGCGCAATCGCGAGCAAGCTGAAGCCCGGTGAGTTAAAAGTGCGAGGCGCGCCCGGTGAGCATCTGCAACCTCGGCTTGCGACCGATGTCTGTGACGCGTGACGTATGTTTAGTTATGTTGATTCACCTTGGAAGAGGGGAGGGGCACCAAGGGGAGGACTTACACCCAGGATTTCATTGAAGGATTTGGTGGCTGACCCAGTTGTCACCTTGTTACCGAACAGGCCAGTGAGCAGTTCTGCCAGTGAGCAGCTTCGCAAATCTACGGAAGTTTGCCGGTGTCCGGCGGGGTGCTAGAGAATAACATATTTCGGCAGGTGCAAACTTGTGTGGTTGCTAACACACTGGCCAGAGATGGATGGTGGTCACCTGGTACAAAAATCCGGGTCGTGGCCCCTTTGCCAATGTGGTAAGGTCAGCTTCTTACGTCCAATTGTTGTTGAAGGCTTGGACTTCAATTGCAACCGCCCACACACACACACACACCCACGCCCACGCCCGTGTGTGAGTTTCGGGCTCCAGTTGCACCAAGTCCCCTTTCCAGGGCTGGGAGGCTGGAATGGCTTGCCATTGTAACTTCTTGCCCTTGAACCTTTCCACCCTGTCCTCATTTCAGCCTCTGAGGTCGCAGTTTGGGATGGTAGGTCGGGGACTACAATAGTTTTGTGTGTGTGTGTTTTCTTTTGGGGGGATGGAGTGCTGCAACCGTTGTTGTTCTTTTTTGTTGGGGGGGGTGATGAACTGAACGAACCGTTTGTTTTAGTAGCACGATTTTAGTATTTTGAACCATGGCTATGACAGGGTGGGAGTGGGAGAAGAACCCCAAAACACATTGAACAGAGTGAATTCCTGCTATCTCCTTTTCGGTGGATCTCTTTGTGGTGTTTCATGGGAAACACCAGCAGAAACCAAATCTGAGCCATACACTTCCCGAGTTTGAGTCACTTGTTGGGTTTGGCCTAGTGGCAAGCAACAAAATCGGTGACTTTCTTGGATTTGGGTCATCCACTAGATCGGAAGTGAGTACACTTCTCTTTTGACATCATGAAATCAACGTATGAGGATGCGCTGTCTGGCCCTGAAGGATTGCAAGCAGAGTATCCACTGCATGGCGCTGCGACAACACACGCGTCACAACGGCCGCGCCTGTAAGTGATGAAGCAGTCGAATAGTTGCATGTGTTGATTGAATTCGCATGTTTTAGATTTCAGAAGCATGAAATCTTGGGGCAAAAGAGTTGTTGTTCTTCTGATTTATCCAAATATCTGCGTATTCAGCCACTGTTTTTGGCAACGAGAAGAGCTTCGACACGGGAGCTATCCATTTGCAGGGCACTTTGCCTGAAAGCAGCCTCGGGTTGTCCAGCAGTCTGATATGGCGGCCTGAGGCCGGGGCTGGCCCCAGGGCAATCCTGTGGCTGACCGTGGCCATGTTGTTTGCACAAGTAGAAAGCCAAGCTCAGTCCGGCCTCTTTTCCTGATTGGACACCCTAAAGGAATAGACTATCAGCATCCTTTGTTTCGCCGCAGCCACGCAAAGTTGAACGGAGCTCCTGGGTTCACATCAAAACCACGTTTATTCCAACTTCAATTCAGTTAATAAGCTTAAAGCCAGGTAAACCCATGGCGTTACCACGACTGTTCCATTAAAACCCACGGCTGTTTTTCGGTGGTGGTGGCTCTTTGGCCAGCAGTGGACGACCCAGTTTTCTCGGGATCGTGAGCCCTTCATTATGGGGTTGGGGGGCCCTCCAAAAGTGGTCTGAATCCCCAGGAACACCGGGTTGACACCCCCATATTAATCAGCAGGGGTTTATGAATCCGGGGTTAACATGAATTATGTCAAGTTTTATTTTTGTGGATCAGATGAGAATGTATTTTTGGGTGTTTATTTTGAAGCATGTTGGTCCTCGTGGACCAACCGTCAACGTGTTTTCCGGGCATGAAGGTTGCCCTTTGCTGCATTGGACCACTTTGCTGCACTTCCTTCAGTCTTTCTATTGCTTCAATCAATAAATGGGTATGGGTCAAAATTAAACCACAAGGGGCCGCAGGCTTTAGTCCATTTTTCCATTTACCAGGGTTCCATTTTGGGTACCTATTTTTGACCCACAGCCAAATTGCCACTACCTCTGGTATGAGTTGTGGTTTATCAACGAACGGGGAAAACGACTGTGACGTCACGCTTTGACAGGACAACTGCTTCAATTCAACCAACTGGCGCAGCTTCGCAGACCACTCAAATTGAATGGGGGACCCCTTGGTAGTCTTGAAGGATGGTTTGAAAGGGAAGCACACTGCAAAACTCTTGGTGGATTTGCTAGGATGCTCCTGGCAACTTGCCTGTTACCTTGCAGGACGGCACAATTATATAGATTTGTTCAGTCTTCTTCCAGGGCCCTTGCCATCCAGTTTTTGCCGATTCTGCGCGCGGAGGGGAATATATATATATATAAAAGCGGCCAAGGAAGGTCCCTTGATCCTTCCGGTGCCAAAGGTTCCTTTGCTTCCAGGGCCACGGCGTTTTTGTTGGATACCGTGGACGGACGAAATCAAAATCCATTTCGCACCACTTTGAAACCATGGTTGACACCATGGGTTCTTGGTGTTTATTGGGGAATATTGTCATTTTGGGCTTTCTTAGGTGGTGCGAAATTGATTTCCTCCATCCACAGTATTGTTGCAGCAAGGTGCGTAATGTTCGTTTTTAAGACAGCTTTTGGTCTCGATGCGCTGGTTTATTCACACGTTAATGGCGTGCTTAAGATGAAATGGGTTTCTCTCGAAATGAGAGAGCCTGGCAAATGGGTATTTTCATATGCGGCATCTTTGATTCTCTAAACACAAGGCTCTGAAGGGAACCCTCAAGGCAGTTTCGTCGGCTGGACACTGGCGCCCTGTTCAAGGAAATGGAATAGTGGCTTGCTTTGTTGCTCAGCCTGTTGCGCCTGTCGAGTGGTGAACACTTAGAGGCGATCTAGCAACAATATGTCAGTGTCGATGTTGCGAGACGGCTGAATGAATCCGAGTGATTAACCCTCAATTCATCGTTTTCCCACAATAATATTGGCAGACAGCCCAAGGTGGGCAGGGTGTGTGTGTGTGTGTGGCTGAATCCTGGGTAGCCATCATGTCCTACAGGTGTTTGGGTGTTTGCGTCCCCGGCCCCCGTGGCCCTTGCTGGCCAGGTGAACGATCAGCGCTGTCATGAGAGGCCAGACATGGCCAGCACAGGAGCATTGGGTACTACTGGTAACGTGTGCCTTTTCTTTTCCCTTGGACTCTTTGCCATGTTTGGCGGGCGGTTTGTACCATTGCCTATTTTTACCACTGCAAAATGAGTAGCACTGTTTTGGGAGAATCCGTAGAAGAACCATAGACAAACCGTAGAACACACGTGGAAAAAGCATTTGGCGTAGACCCACCTTTTTCTGAAGTAGAACTGCCATGTCCTGCATCACGTGGATCGTGAAATATCAGAAGCTTGGTGGCTCCCAACCATCCGATTCGCTTTTTTCAGCCTAGCGGGATCTGAGGACAGCCTAGCATTTTTCCTCTGGCCATTTGGTTGTTCATGCTCCTTTTTACCGTTTTGTAAATTACGGCCGAAGCCAGAAGAAAAAAAACGAGGTGTTTTCTTGGCCGTTTGCCTTTATGTCTGACTTCTAAGCCAACCAATGGGACTTGGAGTGTCCCAGGCACTGTGGGCTCTCGTGTTCAGGGTCTACTCAAGACGTGGCCTCGTTTCAACCTGCTTCAACCCTGACATGGCCATGGGTCAAAAGCCCGTACCCCCAGTGAACATCCCAATCCCCACTAAAATAGACAAAAATGGGTGGTGCACCTACCCCAAAATGGGATCCCATTCGTTTTGACCCAGCCACATGATTCTCTCCGGGCGTACGACGCCCGCCAGATGTGGACTTCGACGAAGGCTTCGACTTTCGGACGCCCACCAAGCCATCGCCGCTACAGCGCCTGCGGGATGAGCGCCGAGCGAGGCGCGGAAACCCCGAGGACGTCTTGTCGACAAGGGCTTAGGGGACTCGAAACGGGGTCGAATCGTACAGGTCGCTTAGAGCATCTTAGAGCACAGTTGTGTTTAACATCCTGACCCTAAACCCTAAACCCTAAACTTCGTAGAGCCCCATTGATTCTTCGTTGCCTGCGCAGATGCCGCTGCGCCATTTGGCAGATTGATGCAAGCTTAACATGAGCCGCAGAGGATCTCCCCCAAAGGGACTGACTCAAAGAAATGGCCTCGCGAGCCTATGCGAGAGCCTACGCGGAGCCTGCGCGAATTGAAGCGGTTCGGCTTCGGAAAACGCAGGCCTCACTTTCTGAGCGACAGGAGCTTACCGGCTAACACGCAGCGACGCAAATCAAAAAAAATAGTTGTCACTGAGTCATGTAGCCACTGTCCCCCGTGTAGCCTGAACTACTAGAAGCTTGTGGCCATGCAAAGCTCTGTGATAAATTATTATTATACATCTATAATGATATGTAGTTCTATGGCAACTTGCCTTTGGGAGCGCCTACGCAAGACAACCCACAATGAATATCCCACGCGGGCCTATGAGCCCTGCTAGAACACAGTGCAGTGCCTTGGGAATTCCTCACAACCTTTTGAAACTTGAATCAAAGGGGCGGCTCACTTGTTGAGACGGCCCCGTCTTTTGTCATTGACCCCAATTATACCTGGACCTTCCAGTGCCCGAGGCTTATATTTTCAAATGAGCCCTTTTCAAGTTTGCGCTCGTTTGCGTTTTTTCCCCGTTTTGCGTGCCATTGCGGGCGTTTTTGCACACTATTTCTGCTCGAGTAGATCATATTAGGACCTGACAGCCCGCATGCCTCCAAAAACTCGAGGTCCAAAAAAGAGGACAAGCCAAGAAAAAAAGGTACAAATTCCCAGAACCAGCCGATTGACAGGGCAGGCAGAAATATCAGGTACGTTTGAAGGTCCAGGTAAGGTCTAGCCGCCTCTTTGTTCTGTCGGCCCTTGTGGGAGTAGATGATTAAGTTGCTGCGCAACTTCCATTTGCAGTCAACATGATATGTTGCTTCGAAAGAGCATAAAGGCATTCAGAGCCAAATGCTAGCCAGGACCCCCTGCTGGAAAGAAACCCCAAAACAGCCATAGGTCATTCCACAGACCATTTGCCAGCCATTGGGGGTGGAGGATGTTTGACATGTTTCATGTTGGTCTCCTGTTCGACCCTTGTGCCAGTGTTCGGAACAACGTTGAGCGGATTTGTAGTTACATGGCTTGACATGGGGATGATGTTCGCTGGTGGATTGCAACCGTTTCAAAGGAACTGGTTACACTGGTTGTTTTGTGGTGTTCAAGGACACCCAGAAACCCAGCAGCAACACCATCCCTGAAGAAACACACACACACACCGAAGGAATGATTGCCAAAAACCCAAGCGGCTGGAAGACGTTCTGGGGCGACACCTGCAACCAGTACTGGTCGCCGAGTCAAGTCAGAGCTGCTGGCGCCATTTCCCAAGTGAACCTACGACCTACAGGGCGACTTTGAGCACTAAACGAAGCAAATGCATGATCAGCTAAGCTGCTAGGACATTCCAGCTTTCCTCTCTTTGGTGTTTGCTTTTTTTGGGGAGAACACATGCATGTGGCTTGTTTTGGAGAATGACCCGTTTCGGCATGCGCAAAAAACATCAAGAACCGATCCCCTGGGCACACATCGCGCGTGAGGCGGTCCCCGAACTGCTTCACACCCAGGCGCGGGAGTGGTTCACGAAAGGGCTGAAACGTGGGGCATGTCGTTGAGGTTCCCAAGGTTCCAACTTGGTTTGAAAGGTAAAAAGTGAACGATGTTTTGTGGTCAACAGTTTTTGTTGGCATTGGGCCAAAACCTGGGTTCTTGATGGAGGCACCCAGGGTGACCCCCGCCTCTTTGCATGGGCTGTGCCATTTCAACCGCACGGTTGGTTGTGTAGCGACCTGACGGATGTGGTTGTGACCGTCAGCGGTTGCGGGTCAGCGGTTCCTGGCGCTTTTTCGCAGCTGCCTCTCTCTTCTTTTTCTTAACACTTTCGTGGCAAGTGTTCAATCTTTTGTAAGACTATGTGCTCACAAATCCGCTGAAGCCGGTGTGTTGTCATTTTTCGTTGGGTTTCCTTTGGATTGG